TCTCTGTGTTTCCAGTTTGATTCTTATGGAAAACAATTTTTATCCTTTGGTTTGAAAAGGAAAAGAAGAAGAATTAAGACATTTTCTATTGTTTATTGATGTGAACAAGTGAGTTTTAAGACCAAATTTGGGTGGGAAAAAATTTGCAGAGACAGTGTATCATTCAAGTGGGATAATGAGCAGCTTGAGCTCTTTGTGGAGTTCAAAGCCTCCATTGGCTATAAAGTATAAGCTTGAGCCTCCTCTTCCTCTCTCACTCAATCATTCTTCTTCTGCCACTCCCAAAAGCCTCTGTTCTACCTTGGACAGTCTCTTAGCTTGGGAAAAGAAACTCTATAGGGAAGTCAAGGTACCTTCTTCTTCTTCTTCTTTAATCCAATTTTTTGGGCTTATGGTTATGATTGCAGGCGCGAGAGGGGGCGAAAATCGAGCACGAAAGAAAACTGGCTACGCTTCAAAGCCTGGAATACAGAGGGGGAGACGTGGGAAAGGTGGACAAGACGAAGGCCGCCATTAACAGACTGCAATCCTTAATAGTGGTCACCTCTCAAGCTGTCACCGCTACCTCTTCTTCTATTGTGGGTCTCAGAGAGGCTGATCTTGTCCCTCAGCTTGTTGAACTCTGCCATGGGTATGTGTTTTTTTTGGCCTTAAACTTTGGTAACCTGATGTTTTTTAGGGAGTAAATAGGAATGTTGACACTGTAAAATGCTATAATTTGGTATTAGTTTTGTGGGTGGGGTTCCGATGACATTGGAACCCCATGTCATTGAATGACCCGGGGTCGCTCTGGCGTCCCGTTCGGACTCCAAAGTCAAAATCAATTTTTGAGGTGCAATTGAAGGAGGTGGGGTGTTTTCGGGTCGGGGCTGGCTGGTGGGTTTACCGAGAAGGTTGCGGGTAGGAACTGTTAATTTTACGAACGGGGCACCGGAGCGCGCCGGACAATGCCATGCGAACCGCCCCGTAGTTTTGTTGGCATTATGTAAGATTCAAGTATATATGTGCATATGCAGATTCAAGTATATGTGGGAATCTATGAATCGGGTCCACGGTGCCCAAAACGACGTCGTCATGCAAGTTAGGGGCCTCGTCGACCAAGCAGCACGCCAGCCGACGTCGGACCCACACCGCCAGTCAACGCGCGACCTCGAGTCCGCCGTGTCTGCGTGGCACTCCGCCTTCTCCCGCGTCCTAAAGTTCCAGAGGGACTTCGTCCGCTCCCTCCACGGCTGGTTCAAACTCTCCCTCCTCCCCGTCGACGGTGGCACTCCCGAACCCCCGGTCGCGGCGGGCCCCACCGAGGCGTTTGTCTTCTGCGACGAGTGGAAGCTCGCTCTCGACCGGGTCCCGGACACGGTCGCCTCGGAGGCCCTCAAGAGCTTCATAAACGTCGTCCACTCCATATCGGCCAAGCAGGCCGAGGAGGCGAAGATCAAGAAACGGACCGATTCGGTCGCCAAGGAGATGGAGAAGAAGGAGGACAACATCAGGAATCTCGAGAGGAAGTTCTACTCCTCTCAGTCCTCTGCCTCTGCGGGCCTTGACCGTTCGGACAGTGTGGGGCCCGCGGACGGACCGGGACTCGCGCTGGATGCGCGGGACCCGCTCGCCGAGAAGAAGGCCGAGCTGCAGACGTGGCGGAGGCGCGTGGAGGACGAGATGGTGAAACACGTGAGGGCGATCGAGGTGACGCGGGCGATGACGTTGAATAACATTCAGACGGGTTTGCCCCCGGTGTTCCAGGCCATGACTAGTTTTTCTGCCTTGTTCACCGAAGTTCTTGAGGTTGTTTGCAAACGTTCTTATTCCATTAATATGTTCGATTAAAAGAAAATACATAGTAGTCTCAAATTATATACATATATATGTTTTGTTTTTGTGTTTTGGGCACTTTTGCTTCTCATTTGTTCTGTAGATAATTCGAGTTTTGCCACACATTGGTTACATATCTCTGTACAGACATTTGCTTCTTTTCTTTTTTGTTTAAATAAATGTATCACATATGTACCAACTTTCTTTAATGGGATGAATTTTCATTTGTGGGTGTTTTTCTTTTTTATTTGGTTAATGTCTAAAATGAGTAAATTGGATGGGTCAACCATCCTTTTAGAAACGTTTTTGCAATGTGTCAAAGATTATATATAACTCTAATGGAGTAAGGTCATGTATTACAACGGGATTTGATGGGATATCACGTAGGTGTCCCGTAAGTGGTGGATATGAACAAAATATGTGTGTTAATTATAAGTTTTGAAATCAGGCGTGACCCAAAAGTGGATTAAATTGGGAAAAGAAATCTAAACTGGGAAAAACCTCGTGACCACCATCACTTTCCGGGGGTCACACCACGGTCGCACCCATCGTGTCGCAGTAGTCCCGCCGTGACAGGACGTGTTTATCAAGCACGAGTAACACCACATGGTGTTATTGTGTTCCGAGTTTTATGGTTAGTTATTTCTAATCTTCAAAGCTCAACCATCCATCACTCAAAAAAAATCATCCATGGCAATTTCTTCTCTGGTTCAATTGGGGCATGATGTCCGCGTTCTATTTCTTAGAAGGTACCTTTCAAAAAATAATGATTCCCATCCCCGAGGGTCCCCTCAAACCCAGCGCAGTTGCCAGAAAATCGAATTCGGGTTTTACTTTCTTGGTACTCCTTACCTTGACAACTGCATAACGTCCACCAACTTAGAAGGTACCTTTCAAGTATAGAGGTTAGACCTTCTAAAATAGACGACATTCTATTTTTAGGAGCTCTCTTGGAGTTTTTTTTTTTTTTGCAATATTTGAATTCAAACTCATCATATTATAGCATATAACAGCTCTAAGAACATCAACATTCAAAAGTTCATCCACAAAATATTTCCTCATTTTTTTCGTGGGTTGCTTTCTTTCATTTTTTTATAATTAAAGCAAACTTTAGCTTCAACCGAATATTCTTTCAAATATTTTACCCTCATCAAATATTTATATAATATGTATTTAAATATAAATAATGGGAAGTACTCGGGCTTTAGGAAGTAATCATCAACTGCATTGCCTAGGTTTTTGGAAGCACTTAGTGTTAGATATCTCGTTGGAGGATGAACGCTACGAAGCAGAGTTGACAGAATATGTTTAACGAAGAAACAGATGAATTACTTGATAGTTTAACGAATCACGAAAATGCTTTTATGTCAAAGTTATTTCGTTGTATATCAAAATATTTTAATCAGATAAGACGTTATTCAAGAACAGTTTTGAAAATCCATTTCTCAAACATACATGCGAGTCTCTGTTTATAGAGACGAAAAATCCACGATAAGACATAATTGTTCGCGTAAGATTGCAAACGTTCGCGCGGTAGGTATAGAACTGAAAGTTTTCTTAAGGATTCGTGCTAATTTACCTCCGGTTTTTGAGTTAATTTTGATGTTTATCCGTACGTCCGATTCTTTAAGTTTTGTGGGTCAATTTTGACCCCGGCCAGGGGCTCTGAGCCTTGGACCCCGTTATCGAGTATGCTGCCCCCGAACCTTGCTATGAATTTGTAATATTGTTGAACGAGTGCGCACTCCACATCTCCTAAGTCTGATCTAAGTAAACTTAATCACATAAAATAGTCGATAACACTAAATTCATCAACACTTAGGCCCCGTTCCGTTCAATTTATTTCTTCTTTTATTTTTTATTTTTATTAAAATCAGATCAGATCCAATCAGATCAGAACTTATTAAAATCAAATCCCATCAAGAATTATTATTATTATTATTATATTATTATTATTATTATTATTATTATATTATTATTATTATTATTATTGTTCTTAAAAATGAAAAAGAATAAACTTTAGAAACAGGTTAAATAGAAAAATAAGAAAGTAATCCTTAATTATTAGACGTCAGAAAAATTACTTTTAAAACACATTGGCAATGTCAATCTAATTTTACTTTTAAAATATATTTTTATTGCTACTTGTAATTTGAGTTTCTAAAGTTTTATCTTTTATAAGAATGGGATATTTTAATAAAAATACTATCTCTTCTATATATTGATTATCTAAATTTAATTACTTTTTAATACATATAAATTAAATATTTATTCTAATGTATATATGAAGTAATTCTTAAAATATTAAATTAATATTCTAATTTCACAAAAAAATAATCATAAAATAAAAAATATTATTACATTATAATATGAATGATTATTCTAATATATGTATTAACTAATTTTATTTAATTAAAAAATATTCATTAAATAAAAATATTGATTAAATTATAATATGAATTATCATTACAATTTTCAAACGTTATTATAAAGTCAAATCAAAATTATTGGTTTGAATTTTAAATCAAATCATAATTAATCAGATCAGACTAGATTAGATCAGATCCAATCAGATCAAATCAGATCAGATCCAATTAGATCCAATCAGATCAGACTAGATCAGATCAGAACTCATTAAAATCAGATCAGAAAAATAAGCTGAATGGAACGAAGCCTTAGCCTTGTTGCTTTAATAAGAACCGTCCGTAACTTATCAAAATGTCCAAATTTAAAGTGGCAAATTCGTTGTCGTTGAAATTAAAAAGAAAGAATGGTCGTCAACCATTATGTGTCACGACTTTTGAGAAAAAAGGGTACTCAAAAAATGAGTGACGAAAAATTTGACCTCACCAATTTTACACTTATTTTTCATACATTTGCAACTTCAGTATTTTAGAACCAAATTTTTATCTTATTTCAAATTTTTATCTTATTTCTTAAATGTTGAGTTGAAAAAAATGAATGTTGCCTGAACTAAAAGTCCAAATATAATGTAGATTTGGAACTAGTTTGGGCTTTAGTAACAGTGCATACTTTATTTGTACACGCTTATATTTAGTGATTGGGCTTGGAATCCAACCCAATATACATACAGGTCTCTCTTTATCGGAATATCACTCGATAACTATAGTTAAATGTGAAACGTTTTTTGTAAAACGGAAGGAGTATTAACTTAACAACAACAACAACAACCCAGTTAAATCCCACAAGAGTAGGGTCTGGGGAGGGTGTGTGTACGCAGACCTTGCCCCTACTCGAAAGTAGAGAGGCTGTTTCCAAAGAGACCCCCGGCTCAACGTCGAAAGTTGCATTGCTTGACTAACTGCTACTTCATTAATTAAAGAAGCGCAAATAGTTTAGATATCCATTTTGATTTATTCCATCACACCCCAAAGCCAAAAACAGGTGAAATTTTGGCTCCATCGGAGATGATGGAAAAAGGAGTATTAACTTAAATAACGCTAAAACTATCGTAGGATAACATTTTTAAAATGTTGAAGCTAACCGCTAAATTCAATGCCAAAGAGAACCATACTAAGTTGTTGTGGATGTTTTTTCATTATGTTCCAACAGCACAACTTGACTCCATATTTTAAGAGAAACAAATCCAAGAGCTAATTATTATGGATACAAAAACACCCAGTTAAAGTTGTGTAAGTTCACCACCTAATCATAATAACACAGATTAGCATACAAATCATCATCATCAACTTAGTTCTATCATAACTCATCACAAAAAGGGGAGCTTATCCATTTCATACCTAATAAACATCTGAACCCCAAGAACCAATGAGCCCTACAAAATAAGGTAGAGAACCCATTCCCTACTGCTAAAACAACCCACATTCATGAAATTTACCTTCTAATGAAATGCAGTGGTTAAAAAAAACCATACCATGCTAAAAGAACTCGAAGTCGAGAAATTTACCATCGGGCATCATGTCTACTGCCCCTACCATTCCTTGAGTGCCATTCGCAACGGGAACAAGCTCAACTTGCTGCCCGGCTTTCAACACGGGCAGCTCGACCTCAACAGGTTTTGGTATTTCGGGGGGTGTGCTGCAACGGATCAATGCCCAGTTAATGCCATCAAAGAAGGGATGCTGCTTGATCTCGGCTGCCCCTCTCTTTACCCCTAACCGGCTCTGAGGCTCTTTGACCAGTAACCCACGGATCAGATCACGGGCTGCGTGACTAGTTGTGGGCGAATCGGGGAACTTCAGCTGCTGCCCGACTACATTGAAAAGAGTTGCCCGGTTTCCAGACCCTTTAAATGGGGTTTTACCGTAGAGTAACTCGTGCAAGAATATACCAAACGTCCACCAATCCACGGCATTACCATGGCCTTCTCCCTTGATTATTTCGGGCGCCAAATACTCGTGCGTCCCAACGAATGACATGGACCGCACCGAAGTAGGCTCGGCGACTAGCTCAGGCAGGGTCTTGCTGGATGGTAGCCCAAGGTCAGCTCGAAGTCTGTGGGGTCGTCTCTTGCCTTTCTGAGGGAAGATACGTGGAAGGAAGCATGCCGGTTGAATGCAGGAGGGCTGGACACAGAAGGAAGCGCCTTCTTTGGATGGGTCAGAAAAGGTTTTCACGAGTGTGGGAGAAACTGCACATCTTAGTGAAAGATCAAAATCTGAAAGCATAATGTGACCATCGTCTCGCACCAAAACGTTTTCTGGTTTCAAGTCTCTGTACACAACTCCCAGCATGTGAAGATACTCAAGTGCCAATAAAACTTCTGCTGCATAAAACCTGTTTCATCCATCATGAAAGAAGAAACACCAAATTATGAATGGACCAATGCTAAAAAGACCAAATATTAAAAACTATGCTTGCAGCGCTAGAAATGGTAGTAAAAGGGGGGAAAGTCCTAAGGTATATACATAGTAGTCTTCCTCATTACATTTGTTTTTGTTTGGGGAATCCATTGGTGATGCCTAAAATCCACCCTCTAAATGGCTATATCCACTACATCTTTCACCTAATTTTGCTAAATTCACACTCATTAATATAAACTTGAGATTAGTGTGGTTTAGAGCAAAATTAGGTGAAAGATGTGGATAGGGACATTCAGAGGATGTATTTAGCATCGCCCACATACCAAATGAGATTAAACTTTATAATGTTTGCATATATTTATGCGCACTCCATCTCAAATAAGGTGCTTGGATTAACCCAGAAAGCTTGTGTAGTTGTGATTTATCTAGAGAAAAGAAAAGTAATACAACGAATGGACAATCTTTCTCTCCTTCTTCTAATACAAGCAGGAGAGGAAAACAGACCTTGCAGCATACTCAGAGAAGTGTTTTCCAGGCTGGCGTTGACGCAGAGCATGAAGATCTCCTCCGGGACAAAACTCCATGACCAAACAATAGAACCTATCGGTTTCAAAGTGAGTGTACAGAGTTGGCAGGAACGGGTGATCCAACAGTTGCAGTATCTCTCTCTCAGTTTGAGCACGGTTCAACTTCTTCCTGCTCTCAAGTGACGCCTTATCCATCACTTTCATAGCAAAGGCACAGTAGGTCCCACACAGCTCGGACAGATAAACACTCCCAATGTCCCCACACCCCAATCTCCTATGCAGCTTAAAGTGGCTCATCCCCAAACCACCATCGCGTGCCCGAACTGCAAGTATAGCGTTCCATCTCGGATCGTTCCCTTTGTGCGGCTTATTGGCTGTTCCAGTGGCATTGCTCCAGTTACTCTCATCACTTAGCTCACTGCTATTGCTTGCTCTGCTAATGCTAGACTGCACACTCTCAAGCGAATCAAAGTTCCGGTCTATACTCAGCATGCCATCACTCATCATCCCATCACTCTTGTATGTGCTTGTGCCACTATTCACAATGCTCATAGTGCAGCTACTGAGAGGACTCACATTTCCACTGGGGGGCAAGGAAGCGTCCCAAACACATTCTCTATCTTCAGAATCATGTGCCAGGCTGGCTTCTGTGTTTTGGGACGGTCTGGGGATCGCAAAAACAGCTGAGAATCTACCTAGATCGTTTGGCTCTTCAAGAATGGGTGGGGTTGGTTTAATGTTAGGAACCCTGATTGAGAGTCTCATCAGGTCTGTATCAACTGGTTCGGCGGGGTGGGTGGCCCCACGGAACGATGAAGAGTTGCTGTCCTCGTATGAATCACCACTTTTCTTATATGACAAACCAACATCGAGGGTAACATCGTCTTCGTCTTCTTGGCAATAAACCATCCCCTTCCATGCTAGAAGAGGTCCACTTAAGTCGAGATCTTGATATCCCCGCGAATTGGGTTTGGTCACTTTAGCCTCGGAAGGTAACAGCGCGGGAAGTGGAGCGACCTTAGCCTCTAAGGGTAACTGTCTTGAAAGTGGTTTTGGTTCCGGAATCGGGAAAGTATTCATCACCTTATCCTCTAATGGAAACTGCCTTGGAAATGGTTTTGTTTCTGGACCCCTTTGCATTTAAGGCAACAAATATATCATCCAAAGAAGACTTCTCCTGCTACAAAAATATCAAGAAAAAAAACAAGATTACTCCCAAGTCCCAAACTCAGTTACACAAATACATAACATCATATTTCAATGTCTCCTTCATGGACATGAAAAACATGCAATGAACAATCAATAAAAGCAATTTGCAGGTACCAAAGAGACTGAATGAAACTCTCATAGCTAATGCATTCTGTACTTCAACACTAGATAAATACAGAGCAGTGAAAGAGATTATTCCCCAGTCAAAGGGTCAGTCCAAATTGACCCACCTAGGCCCCACTTTTGGCTCCAGTCCTGCTAGCCCTTTTTAGAACATTGAACAAAATAAGGAAGCAATGACCAGAGAATGAACACCAAATAACTTCCAATCTTAACAACCAACATATGCCAAACAATCCAGAAATAAGAACATCTTGGAATTTTTCTCAGATAGAATAAAAAAACATGCCATAAATTCACCAGAAAAACACTCCTCCCATTCTCAAACACACAGAGAGGCAAAAGGCAAAAAAAACACACAAATATCAAACCCCTAACTGCAAATAGAGCCACATTATTCAAAAATGAAGCAGACCCAAAAACTATCTCACAAAACCAAATGGGGGGGAGGGGCGGATAGATAAAACAGATGGAAGATTAAATTACAGATCGAATGCGAATCTAGATCTGCGATACGGGAAACAGAATCTGAAAATCACTGGGAATAAGACATAAAACACACCTGAGTGAGTTTTCTAGAACCCAGATTTCCTTGAATCTAGAGCAGAGCTACAGGGAAACCGGTGAGTTATTAAATGGAGGAGTGGATACGAAGCAAGCAGCCTTTCTAACGAATATAATCAGAGCAATAAATGGGGGGAGCGGGGGATATTGGATTCCATTTCGGGCTGGTAATAAATGAATGGAGGATACAGTGCTAGGGGAGGTTAGCTTCGCTCAGGTTGCAGGGCTAATGGAGGGGTCAAAGGGAATAGGGACAGAGTAGTGTAGGAGAAGAAGATGATGATGAAGGAGGAGGAGGAGGAGGAGGAGAGTTACTGCAATGGGCAGAGCGTATGCAGCAGCAGACGCCGACAAGGCGGAAGAAAGCGGCAGAGAGAGGGCTCTGCTTTTTTTAGTCGTTTTAGGCTCTCACCAGTCACTACTTTAATAAGTGTTGTGGAACCCCCCACCTCACCATTAAATTACAAAAAAAAATACTAATTACTTTCTCCGTCTAAGAATTTCTTTCTCGATTTAGCTTGACACAAATATTAAAAAAGTTTAAAAATTTTTCATTTTTGTCTTTGATGTGATGCAATTAGCTGAATAATGTAGATAAAAAAGTGACTATAGAATAGCATATTCATTAGAGCATCAACAATGGCAAGTATCAATAAGGCATGTCACACATTGACATGACACATTTTAATCAATAAAAAATAATCATCTCAACATATAGCAAGTGAGTAAAGTAACATGTCTTGCAATGGCAAGTCATTGATTTTATTAGTTTTTACACTTATTTGACATATTTTAATTATTAAAAATTATTTTTCTTATTTTTTTAAAACATTTTTCTACTTCTTTTAAACAATCTTGTACTTTATGAAAAAAGAAAAAAAATAGAGGAGCAGTTGACACGTGCATGGAATAGAAAGCATGGCAAATTGCTCGTGCCTTGCAATGCATTTTATAAAAATTGATGATGTGGCGGCGTGGCAGTGGCAAATTCGCGCTAGTGCTGATGCTCTTATAATTTTGTCATTCAAATAGGAAACGAGAAAAAAAATTGGACGATCTATAAAGAAAAATTAAAAATAAATTAATCGATGGAGGGGTACTTGTTCCTCATTATAAAAATTTTGACATTTTTAATTCATAAAATTTAAGAAAGTTGTTAAAAAAATAAAAAAAAAAAGTATAGTAAAATTTTGTTTTGAGAATAAAGAATTGTTAATAGTCGTATGTTTATTATCAAAATAGGAAATAATATAGAGTGAAAGACTAAAAAATAGTAAAATATAAAGGAAAAAACAAAATAATGTTTTTGTGTTTTTATTCCCAAAATATTACATGTAGTGCTAATATATACGGAGTAATAACAAAAACACCATGGAGGTAGACATTTTTTTGGACTTCTCAAAATGGAACATGCAAAAAATTTTACGAGGGAGTATACACCGATTTTGACACTATCTTCTTACTCCCATTCAAAGGCCCCATTTGGCAAGGTGGCGGTTTACCAAGTTTTGGCTTCTTTGACTACCAATGGCATTCGACTAGTTAAACCATCAAATTTATTGTTTGGATAATGGCCTCTAGAAATGGTATTTGGAACCGAATATCCAAAAATTGAAATGCCAAACCCAACGGTTTTTAGGTTTGCACTTCACACATTTTTTTTGTTTATGACCACCATCTTCAATTTCCTCTACAATAATTTTCATCACTCTACAATTTTCACTCTAAACTTTTCAGTTTGTAATTGCAACAGTTTGTAATTGCAAAGTATGCGACTTTTTCTTCACTCTGCGATTTTTTTCTGCACTCTGCGATTTTTTTATATGCAATTTTTTATGCATTTTTTTTCTTTGTAATTTTTTCTATCAATTTTATTTCAAGTGATTTCTTTCTACGTGATTGCAAGGTATGCAAATTTTTTCTATAAAAGTTTCTATGTATAGTTAAAATATTTTTTGTAATTAATTATTTCAATATTTTTCTTTGTTTATTGGAGAGATGAAATTTGGTCGAGAGATGCAAGAGATTCAAAAGTAGAATTTAAAAAAAACTTTCAGGCCTTGTGAAATTTAAAACATGATTATTTGACTGGTGAACGATGGGTAAATGAGTCATTAAGTGATCATGACAAATGATGTTTTAACGTATTGAGAATGAACCAAGTTACATTTTGTGAGTTATGTCAATAATTAGAGGTGAAGTATTGCTTAAAGTCATCAAATAGGATAACCATTTTAAAGAAAGTTGCTTTGTTTGTATTTGTATTAACAAGGGTGTTTCCAAAAGAGATAAAAGAAATTTTTCAACATTTTGGGGAAATTTTAGTAGAATTTTTAAAGAAGTTTTTCAAAGCAATAGATAGATTTTCAAGCGATACTGAAAGACCCTCGAGTTCAAGAGTATTTCATCACAAATTGCCAATGTTGACACATATATGCCACATGTGATCATATATGATCATATTATATTATAAATGTGACTATTTAAACTACTAACAATATCAATTTTATGTATTCATTATAATTACTCCGTATAATAGAGCTATCGATGGTGCTCATATTGCAATAATTATTCCTGAAGATGAACAATTATATTTTAAGGGAAGGAAGAAAGTACTGATTACAAATGTGTTAGTAGTGTGTGACTTTGATATGTTATTCACATATGTTTTAAGTGGTTGGGAGGGATCGACACACGATTCTCGAATTTTCCTAGACATTATCAACAATGCAAATCTCGATTTTCCACATCCACCTCAAGGTTTTTATAATTTTCTTATAACGAGATATTCAAAAGTTAAATCAACACTTTTGAATTGTATGCAATTTTAGATAAGTACTCCGTATTATTTGGTGGATAGAGGATATCCAGAAAGAGCTGGATATTTAACTTCATGCATAAAAATTAGGTGCCATCAATCAAAGTTTTGTGGCGCAAACCCAAGAGGAAGTCAAAAGGTTTTTTATAGAGCACATTCAGCCTTAAAAGGTTGCATTGAGAGAGCTTTCGGTATTCTTAAGGCTTGATGGAAGAATGCAAAAATGTTCATTAATGGATCAAAACAAGATTATGAGTACAAAGAATGCAAAGATGCTCATTAATGGATCAAAACAAGATTATGAGTTCATGTTTGGCTTTGCACAACTATATTCGAATGAGCACAATTGGTGACCTAGCTTTTTGATTAGTTGATGATGGCACTAATTTTGTACCCGTTGATGTTTTGAAGATGTTGAAAACCATGTTGCAAATATGAGATGGAGATGAGAAGTCAAGAAATGAGAAACATCACTAATAATATTATTTCTAGTTTGATGGCGATAAGATATCATTAGTAAATAGTCGAGAGCTTATTTCAATCTTTCATTCAACTCAAGTAATCTTTGTGAGTTCCAGTTATTTTGAGAGCGAACTCATGTTAGCCATTAAAAAACATTCATATTTTTGGTCATTTTTAATGCTCGTATCATCTCAAAAAATGTTTGACACTTTAGGTTGTGATGGTTGTCTTGAGTAATTTTTTATTTAATTTCTTCATTTAAAATTGGTTTAAAGTATTTTTATATATTTATGATATGATATTTAAAAAATCTATAAAATAAAAGGTAGGATGGTTATTATTTTAAAAAAGAAAAATGAAAAGTATACTTCATCTGTCCCCATGTAGATCTTTCCATTAGTCCTTTTCATTTGTTCTCCATAGATTTTTTCCCATTACTATTTTAATATTTAAAATATCATAACCACTCTCACTTATATTTATTACACCTCACCACCTCATTTAATACATTTCACCCATTTTCATTAAGAATTTTTTGGTAAACTTTTATCTTTTTTAACTCTTTTTAAAATTACAAAAAGTCAACGAGATGATCTCAAAGAGACAGAGGTAGTACAAAAAAAGTCTAATCATAAAATGTAAATATAAATTCTCAATTTGTAATTTGACAAACAAAAATACCAAGTAGTCTTGTTTTTGGTAAAATGAAGTTCTTACTCACTATTTAAAATGAGTCTTGGGTTTGAGTCTCAAAATTTAAAGAATTACATTGGGGATGTCCTAAATCTTCCTACCAAGTAAAAAGAGAAATTTACCTAAATAAGACTAAAACATAATGACTTTTCCAATATAGGATCATATGTTTTTATTTCCCAATGCAGGACTTTTGGTCATTATCAAGTAGTCATTATTCAAGTAAATGACCATCATTACTAGACATTATTCATCTCACTAGGTCATTATTAAGTTCTATTTAGGGAATGAAAAAGTTTAAGTCATACATTGAGAAAGTCATTATGTTTTAGTCCTATTTACTACAAATTTTACAAGTAAATAAATGTGAAATACGGATTACGAAGTGTGAACATCAAAGATTAAGAACTTATGGTACCATCTTCGCTTAAAAAATAAAATCATTTTAAGAGTTATAGTATGTCATTATGTACATTACTTGTTCGAAGTGAGACAACATTAATGTGACTTAAACAAAGTAAATCTAATTTATTCTTGTGAATATAAAGTAAATTGAAAATAACTTTAACAACAAAAAAAGTAAAAACAGAAAGAAAAAAAAAGGAAATACTCCCTCCGTCCATAAATATTCACAACATTTGCTTTTTCAGCCCTCGCAGGAACTTTTGTTTATTTCGACACTTTCATTGGTTATTTGATAAAATAAAATATTATTGACACTTCTTATTTCGAAGAACTTTTTATGTAGTTTTTTAATATGTAAATTTTATTTTTTATTTCTATACTAATATGTAAATAAAATGAATTGAAAAAACTTGATTTCTTATCTCGAGAATACAAATGTGGCAAATAATTTGGTACGAAGGGAGTACAAGAGTTTGTGACATTTGGAGTAGGTTTAGGTCCAATCGTATTTGGCTTTTGGTTTGCATAGAGGTGACGGCCGGGGAGTGGAAATGTCGCCGGAAGTGGGACCCGGAAGTCGACTTCCTGCCGCCGGCTGTTCCTTCTGTGGAGCACACGTCTTTTCGGATCAGGAATAATTCAAATTCAACCGACAAAGAATTGAGTGTATTCCATCCACCCAAAACCACAACCAATTCCTTCTCATTTTACTCCGTATTACTTATAAGAAAAATACAAATCACCCTAAATATGACTAAAATATAAAAGAAAGTACCGACTTTCAAATTATTTTTTCTGAAATAAGATTTTGCATTGTGGCAATGTGACACTGTATATGTGCATGTTACTATACTTTTT